GGCTGGAGCCATTCTGCTGCCCAGAGCAGGCCCAGCCTTAACCCAGACTGAGACCTGGAGGGCACTGTGCTGCACCAGCTCGAGGGCTGCATCTGATCCCAGGCTCAAGGCTCCCGCTTGCTTCTTGTGGGGATCCCCGACTCACTTACTGATTGAGCCTGGGGAGTCCCCTTTTCTCTAAGGGGCAGTTTCCTGTAAGACTGGGTTGGCCAGGGGTGGGGACCAGGCTGACTGTAGAGGCGCCCAGGCAAAGCATGTGGTCAGCAACCCAAAGTGAGCCAGGCCTGTTGTTTAGGTCTCAGATTTGAGCGGAACAGGAGGAGAGTTGCACTCAGGGACAGAAGGGGTTTTCTTAAAGAGATGATAAAGTAACAGGGAGCGGAGGAAGCCTGGTGAACAGTCCAAGGAAGAGATCCTGTGCACGGGCCTTGAGCCCTGAGCCAAGCACTGACATGGGCAAGGCCAGGCAGAAAGCCAGAGTCAGCGGTGGAGGCTGAGGGGGCAGAAGACCAGAGCGGGGGAAGCTGTTTGGGGACAGAGAACCGCTGATGTTGGAGAGCTGGAAGGGGGCGAGCTGGAGCGTTAGGAGGTGACCTCACAGGGAGGGCATGCTTGGGTCTGCTGTCTGGGAGAAAGGACACTGTTGGCATTAACACGATCTAGTCTAGTGCAGCTGGTCACATCTGCCTCCAGGAGTTACAAGGTGTTTTTGCAAAGCCTGCTGAGTGCTGGCCATGGAGATGCCCGGACTGGTCTCCCCTTAGGCGAGCTCGCTGTGGGTGCATGGTGGGCTGATCATCTCCGCCGCTGCCCCAGGCAGGCTGAGGGCCCTTGCACAGTCTGCAGCCAGGCACTGGGCCCAGCGGGTGTGCTGGGGTGGGTCTATCCCATGGGCTTCTCAGACTTCCCCCCTTCATCAGCCTTTAGGCTTTGTCAGAACCGGGCTGTGGTCTGAGTCTCTCCCTCCCCCTCCCGCGGTCAGGCCAGCGTGACCACTTCCCTCAGTGTAACCTTTCCTTGCATCTGCTTCCTGTAAGAAAGCTCACACGCTCAGGCTAGGGTCTGACACACACTCGGTGCTCATCACTAATGTTTGACACCCTGATTAATACCTCCGTGAATCGTGCATCTATATCTTTCACCAGCATTTGTAATTTTTCTCTTGATATTCCATCAAAATTATTTTTGCCGAAGAGATTTCCCCATCTTAGCCAAGTTAGGAAAGGGACTCAGTCCTGCTCAGTGGTCAGCGTAACACCGACCTGGCTCTCGAACCAGGAGGTCTGATGGACCAGGCAGAGAGGAAGGATGAAAGCAGGGAATCCAGGAGGCAGAATGAGAGAAAGAGAAGGAGACAGCGATAGAGATATATACCTGTCCCCAAAATTAGTTACTGGAGGCAAGCTCTAGAGACAAGACTGCCGGTCAGTGGTCAGTCTGGGATTCCAGCCACTCTGGTACTGAGCAGAAGAACCCGCGGAGGATAGAAACGGGCGGACCCTAAAGCACACTGCTGCCCACTCTTTCATTCTTCTGTTCCGTAGAGACGGCGGAGCCCCTGCCCCAAGCAGGCTGCCCATCGATGCTGAAACAAAGTCTGACTTGAGAGGCAGATGCTGCTTATGAAGTTTTTAATATCAGAATCTAGACAAGGCTGCTGGACAAATATGAAGGTTAGACATGATTTCTGTGAGATCGGATTGCTCATTTCAATAGCTTTTTCCATCTGGGGGTGGAGGGGACACAGCTAGTCAGTGGTGGACCCTAGATTCAAGGCACACCCCACACTCAGGATTCTTAACTACAAGCTGCTCTGGAAGCCATTCGTACACGTGAACTACAGCAGGATCCCTCAAGAGTTAGAGACCTATCTGGAAAATGAGTAATATGTTTCCTCATGAATCCTCATTTCTTTTTATTTTATTTTATGCGTTAGAGTTGGCACATGGATTTCTCTGAGAATGCAGCCACAGTTCACAGACGCCAGAGCCAAATAAGTGATTAAATGAAGCAAGTGAGGTTTTCTCATCACCGCTTAAAGCCAGTGTTTGTTTGTTTGTTTGTTAAGCCACAAATGTTATACATGAAAGAAACCACCAATCTATAAGCAAGAGCCTAAACTTTTAAATTCACACTTGGGAAAATCCAGCTTTCTACCAATTAACTGTTTCCTGGATTGAACTGTCAATAATGATACGACAGTTTTGAAATCAGAATATTTACATGCTGAGCAAACAATCCATCAGAAAACTCGAATTACTAAGAGAAGAAAAGTAGGTCACGGGCATTTTGGTTGTTTCCAAGATCCGGCCATTAAAACTTGTGCTGCTATGAACACGGGTGCACAAATATCACTGTGGCATGACATTTTCAATTTTTCTGGAAAAATACCCAGGAGGAGAATAGCTGGATTGAATGAGATTTCCAATCCCAGCTTTTTGAGGAATCTCCATGGTGATTCCCACAGTGGCTGCACCAGTCTGCACTCCCACCAACAGCAGAGAAGGGATCCTTTTCCCCACAGCCTGGTCAACATTTGTTATTGGTTGACTCCTTTCTGGAGTCTAATCTTGGAAACAACTCAAATATCCGTCAACCACAGAATGGATAAAAAAGATGTGGTATTTCTATGCAATGAAATATTACTCAGCTATAAAAAGAATAATCTTGAGGCTTTTATAGGTAAATGGAGGCAACTTGAGACCACACTCATAAGTGAAATAAATCAAACTCACATTGATAAATATCATATTGTCTCCCTAGTGTAAAGAGAACAGTAATAAGATCCAAAATGTATAATAGACATTGTTATAATGAAAGGGAAAGACAGTGCTCAAAAGGAAAGAACAGCTGGGGTAGGGGAGAAGAGAGAAAGGAAGAGATTACACGGGTGTAGGGTTAGATATGTAAATGTACGCATGTGCACACATGCAAGATAGACAGCTACACTCCTGATCTCTGCGAGTTCAGGGAACAGTTTGTGTCATTGTTGTTTGATTGTTTGATCCTTTTTATACCTAGATCTGGTAACCTGAACAACTACTGCTAAGACAGCAATACACAGTTTATTAGCTAGTGTAATTTACTACTATTTTTTAAAAATTCTGTATCATTTCTATCCTTTTTTATGTTTTTCTTTTTAAAATAAAAAAAAGAAAAGCAGTTAAGACTTGTAGAACTAAATAGTCCTTTGGAGGTTACCTAATTCAATCACTCTTCCTTGGTCTGGGCACACACACACACACACACACACACACACACACACAGTTTTTGTTTGTTTGTTTTCTTTTGTGTACCAGAAATTGAACTCAGGACCTCTGGCTTGCCAGGCAGGCACTGAGCCGCTGAGCTAAATCCCCAGGTCCACATTACTTAGAAAACAGAAAAATCTTTAGCCCAACACTGAAAAAACCCTCCGCTCACCCGTGTGGTTCTGGCTTTCCCCCTCTTTGGACTTCGTTTCAATGTGGCATTTTTATTAAATCAACTCAGTTACTCCCCCCCTGCCCGGGCTTTCTTGCCTCTGCCCTGGCTCCTCCTTCCTGCCCCTCCACCCAGGAGCCCAGCTCAGGGACTAAGCAGGCCCTGCACAGGGCACAGGAGAGCCGCCCTCCTGGCAGCCATCTCTCTCCACCTCTTCTCCACGTTTTCTTCTGACCATGGACAGTTAGTTCATCCCTTTCCACTAGAAGGTGGGCATCAGAGAGGGGACGATGCCTGGCTGTCCTCCTCCCGGCCACCAGACTCCCTCAAACACCATCAAACAAACGCATCCGTGGATGTCTCGGGATAGCACATCTCTACACTCCGCCAGTGACCCTAACTATACTTCCAGATTTAGGAATTTTTTTTTAAACTATGAAACAGGGATTTTTAAAAATAACTTTCAGGTTTTAATTAAGAAGAGAAAGACATGACTATGGGAAGGCAGCTTTTTAAAGTTATTTTCCGCTTTTAAGTTATTTTCCTTATATCCCAAATGCAGTGCCATCTGAATGCTTTCCTTCAGGTCTCTTTGTAAAGTCCTGGCACTAGAGGTCTAGGGACTCGTTCCAGCTGTTGGAAAATGGTAAGACCTTGAGAAGTCCTCACCGCTCAGTCCTCCGCAACCCACACACAAAATCTCAGAAAAACAAGACCTTGTCTTGTGTTAAGGATCTTCTTTAGATTAACTGTACAGGATTCCTAGCAACTAATCTTAAAGGCTCTCGCCCCTCTCCGTCAAAGCATGACTCCATAAGCTGAGTTGCCTGAGCTTTCATGCCATCTATCGAGAGGTACTACAGAGCATCACGGGGAAGACTCCTGCCTTGGACTGAGGCTGTCGCTCGTTGGTACAGCACTTGCCTGGCACGTGAGAGGCCTGGGTTCAATTCCCCGTACCGCCCACTGCCAAAACAATTGCACATGGTCCTTGCAGTCAAACTTCCTCTCTAATCGAGTTATTTAACCTCTCTCAGTTTTCTCATCTGTAAAATGTAACAGTAACAGCACTTATTTTATTAAGATTTTTACAAGTATCTGATGAAATCACATATGGATTTAAACAGCATCTGGAACCTGGGTGTATATGTGTGTGCTTGCACAATACACGTTGCTATCATAATTCATTCTTATTTTGAATAAAAATGAACAATTGCTGGATATGTACTATTTAATATCTGAAGATTCTGAATAAGTGCCTCTTTTTCTGGACTAAATTATTCCAGTTTTTGTGCTACTTTGTAAACATCAGACTAATTTTTACTGTTTACAAAGTCTCCCTTTGACCCCTCATCTTAATGCAGTAAAGAAAGTATGCTTGTATTTTGTTATTTGAAGCTTCCTTTGTCCACCTACATCACATATCTTTGTGAGCCTACAAACCTTTTTATAATAATCTTCTTTCCAGTGACAGTAGGCACATAAGGTCATATAAGGTCAATAAAAGCCTGCTTTTGGGAGTCAGCCAGCTTTTTCTCGTGGAAACAAACTCTCTCACCGTGAAGCAAGGCGCTTACCGCTCTTTCGGATTCTTTCCTCCAATAGGTCAACGTGTCCCACTGGAAGTTTCTTACTGAAAATCTCAGCTGAACGGAGGAACATAGCTTCAACAGCAGACCCTTTCAACAAAGCAATCTGATCTTCGTGGTCCAAAGTCTGAAATCCTGAGTGAAGACAATAATCAAATCTGTATTAAGGAGCTGTTTTGCACACTGTTTTGTTCTATGTATAACATTATATACACATAGTAAAATTTCATCATCACCGTTGGCACCTGGGTAAAACACTTCTATAAAGTGATTTTGTAATTTTTTTACATTAGGGAATTCACACTAAGTCCACTGAGTATTACAATCCTCAAATAGAAGCTACCTCGTATGTTCATTGAGCAGGATTTAACAAACGGGTTAAGCAAAAGCAGATCCCAAATACTATGGCAGAGACAGACTGATTTTGGATGAAGTAACCTTCAAAAAAAGGAGGCAAGCAGGCTCTTTTGGGGTCATTATGTGGGTCACATCTGGTGTGCAGGGTCAACTTTAAAGAACAGAGGTTTCCACGGCTAGAAAAAATACTTCATGCATGTCTAGAATATTTGGCTGACCCCTGAACCTTTTAGTCAAACTGAGAGGCTAAGGAGCACCTTCCACCCTACCCCTACAAAATCTATCAGGGCCAAGTGGAGAAATCTCCTCGGAGCTCAGAACAGGGCCGTCCACCGTGGGCAAACCCAGAAAACTATGGGGAAGAATCTCCAGCCTAAATGAAGAAAGCCCCACCTGGGGAATGCAGAGCTCTCAGCCAGGCCTGCGTGGTCCTGGACCTTGCTCTCCTCCCCCGTCTCAGCCACACTGACGCCCAGCTCTGCTGTGAGCCTGTGAGCTGGTTTTTGCCTCAGGGATGAATGCTTTTTCCAGAGACCTCCATCCCCCACCCCGCCCTGCACCCTCAGATCCCCGCTCTGGGGTTATCCTACCTAAAGCAGGGTCCCCAGCACTCACTTGCTCCTGACCTCACCCCTGCTTTATTCCCGTTCACAGAATTTGCCATTCCCTGGCATAATGGTGGACAAGTACTTATTTGCCTATTTGTCCATTGGCATCTCTGTTGAAGCTTAAACTTCTTGAGGCAGAGATTTTGTTCTATTTACATTTGCATCACCGATGCCTGGCACGTGATAGGTAACCCAGAATTATGTGTTAGATGATTCAATGAATGGGTGAATGAATGGGGAACCAAACACAAGCTTGTGTGCACCCTGGTACACACACACACATGCACACATTAATAGGGGTAAATAATGCCATCAGAGCCTAAATGACTTAAGAAAGGATTATGTGGCAATGGAAATTTAAATACAAGAGCAGTGCTGAGCAGTCCTGGGGAACCCAAAAGCCAGGGCGAGGGTCAGAGTCACCCCTCCATCTCCTCGGGTCTCCAGCACCCTGGACAGTGCCCGGGGCCAGGTGTGGGGTCTGCTCTGCAAACTCAGGATTCCATTGTTTTCACAAAGCAACCTTTTGGGGGCAGGGATACAGCTCAGCGGCACAAGTACTTGGCTGCTGAGCACAAGGTCCTGAGTTTGATTCCTGAGACAAAAAAGCAAAACAAAAACCTATCCTTCAGTGTTGGCATACTGCTAACATTGCTATTTATAGTAATGTCATTTCTATAATTATTGTTAAATTATTTTTTCCTTCTGAGAGTTTTTTGCTTTTTTTCTGTATTTTTATTTTTATTTTTATTTTTTTGAATGTAAGCTGTACTCTCCCTCAAGGAGGTGAGGCACAGGAGAAGAGATGTAAAGACACTGCCCGTACTTTCAGATGAGCTGACTTCTTATGAATGGGATCTTTTTCCCATCTACAATTATTGCTTGGTCCTACCAGCTGACCATTCAAACTGCATAAATCTTTCCCCATAAACAAAAATATCCGGCATTCACTTCCTCCGTTCTTTCCCCTTGCATGGTTCTGTAATCTTGGTTTTCGATCAAGATTGTCTTCACCTTCATTAGCATATAACAAATTAAATTTCTCTTCCACTTTTAATAAAAGATGAAAACTCAATATTGATATTTCAATGATAATAAGAACTTTCTCCCCACATTTTATGAGTTCTAGGTAGGTTTATATCTATCTGTGACACATTTAATAAAACAAAAGCAGAATGCTGGCCAAAGAAGGGAGATTAACATATCTAATTAAAATCCTACATCAGAAGTTACCTTCTGAGATCTAATATCACAGTGTTGCAGGGACATATAAGGTATCTATGGTAATGCTCTGACACATGGGATTCTAATGCAAAAGTGAAACAGTTTAACCTGATGAGTCAGACATTGACAGGGACAGAAAGAATTTGAGGTCGAAGATTCTTGCATTCCAGTTTCTGTACTGGCACCATCGCATGACTCAAAAAGTCCCTCCACTGTCCCTCGCACCTACAGATGTTCACCAGGTCCCATCAGCTTTTACTGTATTTCGTCTCGTCTCTCACTAGGCGGCTTTCTTCCAAGCCCCTCCTCTGGGATGATTTCATAGTCTACTAACTGATTCTGCCTGCCATTCAAACCCATCTTATGCGAATAAAATCAAGGTCTATCTCTGCAACAAAAGTTTCTTCATTTCCCTCTTCACAAAAGTCAATGTCACGGAAATCTCTGTCGCCAAGGAACAGGGCTAAATTCCTCAGCCCTTAGCATCCCCCCAAGAAGCCTGCCACCAACACTACAGTATTGTCACACTCTGTCTCTCTCCTACTTGTGATCGTCCCGGTTTGGTGATGCCTCGTTACCTTTCCACAAGCTGGGAATATCCTTCTCCTCAGTACTGACTGGAAAGCTCTTGCATCTTTTCAACTCATCTCAAATATAGTCCTCTCTGAAGGCCGCCTGTATCTCTCAGCCACAACTAATAGGCAACTAATTCTTCTCTTTTCAAACAGCAATGTGTTTGTGTCTAGCACAAATATAATGGTCTTTAACTGTTTCCAAAGAAGGTAAGAGCTAACCATGTAGTTCAGAGTAGATCGCAACAACTACTTATGGAGCAAATAAGGAGATAAATAACATCGTTGCAAAGTTCCAAGTTTTATCTATTTGGAAAATTACAAGTGATTTTAAATATGCTTTCTGGCTCTAACCTTTCATGTCTATAGTAATTAGGCACATGAGATGATACAGTAACCAGATGTGAGAGGGTTCCATTTTATAGTGAGAAGACCTGACTTGGTGTCACAAGAGTATTATACAGCATAGCAGAGAAATAACTACATTAAGAATAACAGTTATAATAGATCTGATCACACACGAATGCCTTGAGGATTAAAACATCACATATAAAATGGTTAATGTAATCTGTGTCACATATTCACACACTCAATAAATATTAACTTTTAAAATTTAAAAATACCTGGAAGCTTTTTTGTGAATTCTACGAGAACCTGTACATGACTGGTAGCCATTTCCGTTAAAATGAGGAAATTTTCTTCAGCACTGAATTCTTCTTTTAACTAAATTTTGAGAAAAGATGGTTAATATGTAGATAAGTATAAATCAATATAAAATAATTAAACTAAAGAAAAACCAGATGGAAATAATAAATTTGGGAGCTAAGTTCATATTTCTCAGATCTTTGGAGAATTACTGTTAACAAGAGAGGTGTGAGACTCCCCCTCCCCAGTTAACACCGCTAAAAGTTTATGTGTATAATTTAAATTCTCAGAATGAATCATTTTAAGTGACATATTTTAATATAAACTTCATCTTCAAGGTAGTAAAATCTCCAGAAAATGTTAACGTTAAGGAAACGTATTTTAGATGTTATACATACAATTTTGTTTGTTATTTCCTGAGGCATTCGCTGTTTCTTATATGAATCCATGATATAATGTAGAAGATGCTGTTGATCTGAAGTGAGTTCGGTTTTCTCCTACACTGGCAGGAAAATAAACAGTGTTAGGGAGGTGGTCACAGGGGTATTTCCTCTGGGTTAGCAAACGGCAAAGTGTCTCTGTTTCCCTCGAAAGTGCCTACATACAAACAGGACGATGAACTCTAATGCGGTATACATAATTGCCCTTTTAGGGTTGTGGGACAGAGATTGTATTTGACTAAATTTGTTTTCAAGCTGCTTATCTCCCTGTTTATGATAACAACATAGTCCTTTCACGTACTTTTGGGGAATAAAGCATAGTGAGGATGTGAGGCTCACTGAGCCCTCGCATAGCAAAGGTCGGTGGAAGCTGAGGGTTTAACCACAAACCAGGGAAGGTTCCTGCGTTAAACCGAAGCTCCATCCAGATGTGTTGGTTCTGTAACCACAGGTTCACAAACTGTGGCCCATGACCAAAGCCAGCTGGTTCTGTAAATAAAGCCCCACCAGGACACGGCCTTTGTCAATCTTTGTGTTTCTCTAGAACTAAGTAGCTGTGACAGAGGCCATGTGACCAGAGCGTGAGCATCGGGAATTTCACAGAAGAATGGTTTCCTGGCCCCCAAAACTTGAGTCCTCAATCTGAGCAATCCAGACCCCAGATATCTCTTTCCCTGGTAACATCATTGTTCTGAGGAGTGTGGATAACTGGGTCAGCTCTTTCCTCCCTTATCCCAGAGGGCTCCTGGTGCAGCATGGTAGCAAATACTTTTCTAGTATTTTTTTTCTGAAATGAACACAAAACAATGTATCTGCAAAACTAAAAATGCATGAAGTTCTCCTGTCAATAAGGTATAATCATACTGAGTAGGAGCAGCTCAGACAGTTGCTGCTCACTGGTGTTTTGGCTAATGGCAAATTATAACTCTTCCAAACGCCCTGTGCATTAACACACAGCATGTTTGCTCAGTCACCCTGATTGCTGTTCCCCTCCTGTGTCCGAAGCTGCTCCAAGGATTTCATTAGAAATTGTGGCTCAGCAGGCAGGGCTTTTCTCTGTGGGCACAGATATGTAATTTGCCCTGTTTCACCAATCTCTGCTGGGTTCACACCCCCCAAGCTTGAGCCTCCCTTCTCAACGATGGAGAAACAATGGTCACCCAAATTTGGTGACCACCACTCACTGTACACCAAGTCCCTCCCACTGGCAGACCTTTCATAGTTGGAGTTGAATGGAACCAGGGGAAAAAGAGCTTTTGCTTTTTACCTATCACTTCAAGGTTTATATCAAGCATGAATTTCTGTCTAGAGTAGAGGAAAAGATGGAATTTAAACACAGTGAGTCCCACTTGGCCATAAAAAAGAGTAAATTGGAATCATTTGTAGGAACACAGATGCATCTTGAGGCCACAATATTAAGTGAAATGATTCAGACACACGCTTATATTTAAGCTATGAGAAACCCACAGCACAAATAAGTAAAAGACAGACGATAAAAACGGGGAGGGAGGTCCTTCTTAACAGGCAAGAGGACCTAGAAAGGGACGGGGAAGGGACGAGGAGAGGGGAGGGGATGGGTGAAAAAGACCAAGTGTCCCAGCTCCCCACCGAGAACAGCACTCTACTGCAAACATGCACTAATAAAAATTGACACATTTTAAAAAGAAGGAATCCACTTTAAGGCAGAACCAAACTGGAAACCCTGCCAGCCGCGTCACCAGGCTGGAGAAGCCCGTGCTGCTGGCTTTGGCAGACACACTGCCTGTCATTACCCTGCACGGCTTAGTGGTGGAGGTCACTTGTCGCAAGTCTCGTCCTTCACCATCCTCTTGCATAGTCTGATCTGCATGCTGCTTCACATTCTTCCTCAGCCGTTTAGACTTACACTGAATTTCGGTTAACAAGCCTGAAAAAACAAACACAGAGCCCTCAGCAATCACTGAAGTTTCTGTCCGGTGTGTGGCCCTGAAGCAGCCGCTGCACGGCCAGCTCAGAAAGCTGTGCGGTTCAATGCAGAACTGACTCTGGGCCCTCACTCAGGAGCAGGCCAAGGCTGGAGACTTGAACCTTGCACGTGAAGTTCAGCCTCTGTGAGACACAGATTTTTCATTTGTAAAATGCAAATAACACAACCTCATCGAGTTTTATATAGGTCAGATGTAATTAAATCATTCTAAAAGAGATTTTCCGCAGAAAAATCTGTGCTCCTAAAGCCTTACACAAAGCACAAGGTGTTCTGTCAACAAAAATACTCCTTCTCAGCCTGAGAGACCCAGAATGCTGCTGGTTTACAATATAACACTATATTACTTTCACCCATTACCGTACCATAAGAAGTATACTCAGCCTCACATTAAACACACAAAATCAAATTTATTGAGTAGGACAAATCAACATCCTTTAGGGAAAGTTTTTAAATCCTGTTGATTTTCACAACTATACAGATTATTGAAAATACTTTAAAGGTTAGAATAACCGAGGAGTGCTATAGTCTGGACATTGAATATCCCCCAAAGGCCCATGTGTTAAAGGCTTGGTTCCAGGATTGTGCTCCTGAGTGGTGGTGGTGGAGCATTTAAGAAATGGAGCCTGGTGGGAGGTCCTTAGGTCATTCTGCACTGTTACCATTCTGCACCCCTACAAGGAGTCTGAAAGGAATGAAATGGGGTCCAGCCACTCATGGACTGAACCCCCTCAAACCGTGAGCCAGCGCCAGCCCCTTCTCTTCAGTTATCCCAGGTTACTTTTTTTAAGTGAATAGAAATCTAACACAAGGCGACTGACCATTTTTGAATGATCATATAACTTCACTTTTAATTGATACTTAAACAGAAGTTGAAAATCGTGCAGCACAGCATCTCCCATTTAATGTCTTTATTTTGCTCTCAGTGTTAATGAAACAAAGTTCCCAGAAGTTTTTTGCACAGGAAACTTACTTGATAGATTCATGAAAGGTTTACATTTGTTCCTGGAAATGTTTGTACTCTTAAATAACATTATGGACTTATATAGGGGGATTCCGCTATATAAACTGCCCTCAGCTTCAAGTGGAGCAAGTTCATATTTAAGTAATGAGCAACATAAACCACCCAGTATCAAAGTAGGAGTTTCCATTGCAGGATTGGATTCCACCAGCAGCCTCGAGGTCAGCTCTTGTCTCTCACACGCCGAATGAGATTGTGATCGGCACCATAAAACTTTCATCCCCCGGGCTGGATTGTTTACACAGGCCTATTTTCCCCAGCTGCACACACTGTTCCCTTGGGTCCATCCCGGTCGCCTGTGTCGTTTGGGAACAATGGAACTGGAGTCACTTTCTGCACGCTTTTCTTTCATGTGGCATTCCCTCCCTGAATGTTATCGTCCCCTTGGTGACATTTGTTTATTTATTTGTGTTTTGAGGAGGAACGAGACATATCTCAGAATCTGAGTTGGCTGTAGAATTTGCAGGATGAAAAATTAATTGTGTTATATACTAACATGCATTCCAATTTTTGATGAAGATTATGGTTCCTCACAAAGCCAGCAGTTAATACAGTGTTTCTTTATCAGATTGAGGGACAAAATTATATTAAACTCGGAGTAGTTAATTTCCTGTGTGAGCCTATACAAATTGGTTCAGAGCCACACAAAGGGAAGACAGATTTTTAAAAAGGGACTTGGTTTAAAACTCTATTTAGACAATTCACAGATGATTATACTTTATGTAGCATTCTTATTTTCTTCTACAATTGTGAGTTTTATGCTAATTAAGTGATAAATAAGAAGTATATTAAAATCAAATCTGGGGGGAAGTGTCAGAATGTCATTCTTTGTAGCTCCTGAAAACACAGTATTTTCATTATGATTGGATGCCCTCTTCTCCCTCCATGTGTAATTCCTGCAGCAAAACAAATAAACAAACAACAACCATTTCTTTCAGCTGCCACAATGCCCTCTAGCTGGCAGCTCGGACAGTGTCCATGGTTCATGACCCTTTCCAAGAGCCTAGATGGCGTGTGGGTTCCCCGGGTAGCATGTGGCGTATTGTCCCGGTGGTGTGGTTACCTGGCAACCGCCTCCTTAAGAGATTTTTGGTGGAACTTAGTGGCTGGAGTGAATACCTGTATACATACATTCAGCCAACATCCCCATCTCTTTGCACTTCCTTAGCCGGCACTCCTGGCATTTCCTCCGCATGTACATATCCATCACGCAGTTGCCACCATTTTTGCACTTGTACACAGCGTTTTTGGTGATGCTTCTCCTGAAGAAACCTGCAAAAGAAACACTAAAATGCGTAAAAACGAAACAGCAACAGAAAGGCCCCCAAAACCCCTCGGGATAGCACAGTGGAGTCAGAGCTGCCAGATCGTTCTTCACAACCTTCTGGCCAACACCCAGGAAACCCTTGCACCTGCTGGGAACAAAGGATGCTCCCAATCCCCCTGGACCGTTGAGAAGGCTGCTGCTTTTTTAATTTCTCTCTCAAAATGTAGACAAGTTTGAATTATAGCCTTTCTTAGGAAGCCATATTAGCTGGTTTTTAAGACAAATGACTTTCATATAATCTTTATTAGGAGACAATTGTGTGCCAGGGAGCGCTGGGTGCCGGTGCTACAAAGGTGAATAATTTACCCTGCCGTCCTAGCCTTTGAAGGTTGGCTGAAGGGAAATTCACGCAGCGTGCTAAACGTGGCGAGTCAGCATCGCAGGGTCTCGGGTGGGAGGCTGAGCCGGGCCGAGCGGGCACAGGGACCCATCAGTGTGGATGTAGTCAGCACAGGAAATTAGTAATGAACCGAGTCTCAAAAACCGTGTTGCTGCTCACATGAAATTCAGGGTGAAAGTTGCATTTAGGGTTTCAATTCAGTGCTTAATATGCCAGCCTGGCATGGTAATAAAAAATGCCAGCCTTGATTTCAAAGCAAACAACTCCCTCGAGAAGCTGCAACCCAGCTGCAGTCTGTGATAGGTAAAATGCCCAGACCCGGGGACAGGAGGGACCAGCTTTGCACAGTCTCCTGCCGCCATGTTCCACTTCCACTGCTTCTCCTCCAGCTGGCTAATCAAATTCTGGATGGATACTTCCAGAGTCAAAGCTGGGGGAGTGGGGAAATGTTGTGGGACACAGGACAGGTGACAGGGGCGTGCTTGCTTGCCTGGTACCCTGTCCTGAGGTTTTGGTTACCTGTGGTTAACTGTCATCCAAAAATACTACTGAAAAATACCAGAACTAGACAATTCGTGCATGTCAGATGTGAAATCTGTGGTGGAACCTTCCACCGGGCAGCTCTGCCTTGGGGTCGGAGGACCATGGCATGAAACCAAGCCAGCATAAACCTCCCCCTCGGATCATGGCTTTTGGGTATTTCCGTCAGAGCTGAGGGCGCCTTCTTTGCCATCTTGGACTCTGTGTTGAGGTTTCTCTGTGTGGTCTACTTGGCATGGACTTGACAACTTCATGGTGGCTTCTCTAGTCCAGCAAACACTGTGGGAGAGAAATCTGTCTCCCCCTCAGTCAGAAACCGGCAGCCCTCCTCCCTCCTGTCTTTGACTTCTCGGGTGCAAGTCAGACATCAGTCCTGTGTCTCTCCTCTCTCAGAAATGCATACATACATATACATGGTCATCACGTTGAGGAGCACATCATTGGACTTGGGGAAGCAGGATTCCTCTGGGAACAGGTTTTACCGGGGGAAGGAACACCCTTTTCCAATTGTCATAAAAGCTCTCTGTGTTGCAGCGAGCCACCTTTGCAGTGGGGTGAAGGATGCACGGCACTAATCACATGACTCCCACTGTGCAAGACCTCCAGCTCCCCACCACTGCCCTCTTCAAACCCCCAATCGGGGAGGCGGGTAACTAGTTCCTAGCTATCCACCAGGAAACTTCTTCAAAACTAACTCACGAGGCATTTAGTGTCCACTGCCTTCAGCTGAGAATCGAGACAAACATCCTTCCCGTTTTAGCGGACTGCTGGATGATAGTAACATTTCAAACAGGTGCTTGCTGTTATTCTCACTTGATGTCTACCTTGTGTTATTCAGCCCTTACACCAATTTTATGATGAAGGTTATTTTATGCCTCTGCACATTATAAAAGGAAAACAAGGTAAAGAAAGGTGAATATGTTGGCCGTGATCACATGGTTAATAAGTGAATCAAGAGGATTCAAAGTCAGGAAATCATATTCTAAAGGTAATAGTCTGAATCTCTACCACCTCCTGTGGGTCACAAGAGTAACTTAATATTAAACACCTTCTATCTAGAAGCTGCATTCTCTGACCTGGAAGATACCAAGATGAGTAAGATATTCTAATCTTTAGAGAGCCCAGTTTAGTTGGATGATGAAATATATCCGAGACGTAACACAAAGTTGAGCGCTAGGATGCTGATGAAGTCATTGCTGGCTGGCTAATTATTGGAATGTAGGAGCATAAGTGATTGTTTCAGAGCTTCACCATATGCTTGTAGAGGCCGAACCACACGTAAGGGGGAAGGGCAGCAATTTCACGCAGGCATGGAAATTTACATATTTATTTTGACACTTTGCAGGTGGCAGGCAAAACAAAAATTTGATTTTTAGTATGATGATTTCCCATCCTCTTAAAGTCAAATATCTCTAGGAAAAGGCATTATACAGGCTGGGAGTGACCCTACCTAATTCCAAAATAGGGGGGATTATAAAAGGCTTTATGAGGAAGAAGAATTTGTGGGAAAGGCCTTGGTGAATAAGTAGGATTTTGAGACATGGACCATGAAGGAGGAAAATTATTCTGGGAAATGAGCAAAGGTTGGGTGCTATAGAAATTCGAAGGAAGAATGGCTAATCCAAAATGGCGGGAGGGTGGCTAATCCAAAATGGCGGAAGTGTTAGGGTTAGGAGAATTAGCAGGAGATAGGCAATGGGACACGGTGGGAGCAGAATGGAATTAAATGACTCAAGTCTTCACCATGAAGAGAGAAGCCATTAAAGTATTTGACATGGGAGGCACAACCTACTCTTCGTGGAGGCTCCTTGGAGCAAGTAAAGCCAGAGCGGGGACTGGGCACATCCTGCATAACGCATCTGAGCAGTCATCAGTGCCTGAACCAGACAGGGAGACACAGACAGGAGGAGAAGAGAGGACATCCCAGTGTCTGGTAACTAAAGGTGAAAACAGAGGCTGAAGGAAAGTCTAGGCGTGGGAAGGTGATAGTCACAGACTTGCTTTGTGGATTTGTCAGCAGGCATGAAGTTTGGTAGGAAATGTTTTAACATTTTCCTAAATGCCATATCCAAAGAAATAAAGTCAGGAAGGAGACTGCATTTCAGATCAGTGACACTGACAGTGCAGACAGAAAAGCATGTTCTAAAACCAACTAAAAGAAAAAGAGAACCTTTCCTTCCTAGCACCAAAGAGGAGCTCAATGACCACTTTACCCTGCATGAGTCACCACTAATACTCTGCTGATAATCTCCACCTCCTTCCAGGAATGAATCCTTCAAAGACTGTCATAGATACTGATAGACAGCTTAATAGTTAACAGGATAAAACTCCTTATTCCAAGATGAGTCAGAGACGATGCCTAGAACACTTTTGCAGGGTTTTTAAAAAAACTCTGGTATTAACTGAGAAAGAAACCATTATCATCTCAATAGCTGAATTAATTAGCTTTCACTGTGAGCTGGGACACAATATTATCAGTATATCATTTAAATATGGGTACACACACTGTATTTATACTTATGCAAATCTACCCCCACACCTCTGCCCCCCTCTTCCCCTTTTTGTGCATATCCAACAATGCTCACATCAGAAAAGTCATTTGAAGATGAATGGAAAGGGAATTCACTGAGGAACAGGCCTTCCTGTTAAGAAAAGTTGCTTTATCCTCTGGGGAATCATGGCAGTCAGGGATCTCGGGAATGGCGGAGAACAGCTACTTTCAGTGGGATCTTTAAGTCTGCAGAATATTGCTCACCCTGTTTTTCTGCTTCTTTATCCAGATGAAACTAGCGTGCCTTAAGCCCTGCTCCCACCTCACACACTCACACACACATGTGTGCAAACGCAGGCAGACGCCAGCCACCTGCGGCTGACCCTGTAACCACTAGTCGTCAGCTGCCCATTACTTTGAACTCAATAAAATACTGATTGGGGTTATAAAACTTTAAGGGTCTGTAAGCTTTCTAAACAGCAACAAATACCCAGAGCGGAGTAACCAGAGATCTTCACATCTAATACAACCTCAGCGGAGATGGCGTGGAGGTCTGGCTTGCCTTCTATTGCACTTTTATGCCAGGCACTGCAATGGAAACTCATTTAATGTTCTTAATGATCCAGGAAGATAGATCCCATATTATTCCTGTCTCGGAAGAAGAGGCTGCAATATACAGAGGTTAATTTGCTTAAAGTCCTACAGATAGTCGGTGTAGAGCTTGGATTTGAGCCTTGAGAGGTTCCATTCAGACTCTGGATTTTTAACCACACCATAAGCTCTCTTTCCCATAAGGAATTTATATTCCAAAAAATTGTCTCGCTATATTATCTCCCCAAAGCTCATGCAGCATGGTAAGTGGCTGGTCCAAAACAGAGACCTGACATGATCCCCGATTGCATGGTGAGCATTTCAGCATAACCCTAGGAAGGGGAACTGATAGTTGACTGAGTCTTTCATGCGTGGTTGGCCTCTGCTCCCACCACTTCTTCTCAAGAGGGAAGTAATCATCTGTCTACGCTCACTTGCTGAGATGAAAGCTCTAAATGAGACACTTCCTCCAAGCCCACCCTGACAGGGTTACGTGGGGTCATCTCAAAAACCACTAGTTAGACTTGCGGTCAGTGCTCGAGAGTCGGGGGAAGCAGAGGAGGTTTAGTGGGAAAGGAGTTTAAGAATCCTGGGGACACAGTGGGTCTAGTGGGTCCTGAAACACTGGGCCAGCTCTCATGAAGAGCCTCCAGAGGGGACACATCTATAATGAGGCGGCTCTCGGAGGAGGACACAAAGGTGCTGAGCACCATAGCTTTGAAACCTGGGTTAAACTGTGTCCAAGTTGTTCTCTTTCAAAGACCAATTCAAAGTTGGACAAGGAGATTTCAACAGAAAACAAAGTATTTCGCCCTGTGTAAGACCCTGAGTTCTGAGCATGATCCGAAAGAGCATCCCCGAAGCCCAGACTGGATTTCTCATCTGCAAGGAGGGTCTCGAGTTTTGAAAATATCAGATTGAATTTAGAGACGTACAGGAAAGTGACACGTCTCACACTTAGTGCAATAACAGAGAATCTCCGA